AAGGCTCTTTATGCTTGTTCATTTATCACATACTGATGAATTTGTTCAGACAAACAAGCTATCTAAATGCTTTCCGTAAACTGAAAAAAAAGCTGCTATGGGCCATTTGACTTAAACGAACCTTTAAACAATCACAAAGCAAAAAGGCTCAGATTTGGAGGACAGCTTGACTACTCTTTAGAATACACAGAGGAAAACTAGATGCAATCTAACCAAGAGCCTGAATCTCAGTATGTCAATCAACGGTTTCATCTCTGACTATACTAACTGGGGAAATCTACCATTTCCCAGCTCCAGCTAATGGGCAATTCTAAAGGAGCCTCTAACTAGATAGAATCTAAACACTCACCCACATTCTAGTTGCAATGGGAGCATTTAGCTCAATGTTTGTAGCACAGAGTCCCTCAAGAATAAAGCACTGCTTTGGCCAAAGCAAACAATTACTTCACAAAGGATTCCTGAAACTAGAGAATTGTTAGGTTCTCAGATTCTACTTACAAGCATAGTCCATTGACAACTGGAAATGAGGTAAGTTTCCCCACACTAATGTAAAGATAATAATGGCATAAAACTAAACAGATCCCATCCAAGTGCAAAGCTAAATTCCATTGGGAAAGATAGGCACAGCATTAAGGACTGGAGATTTATAAATCTTCTTGGCCCATGCTTCGTGCTTCAGTGGTCTTTAGGGAAGGAGCTGGGATGAGCCACAATTATTCCCCTAGCATACTGGGAATAAACCACACTCACAGTCTAAAGGGGAAACTGATCAACTTGGTGACACAGAGTTAGCAGCTTGATTATGTAAATCCTTTTTAAATAATTTGATCAATTTTGAGTGTTGGACCATATTTTCACATGTCATTTTCAATTCTGTTTGGGACTGCAAAACTTCTGTTTGTAAATAACTTAAAAGTGAAAGAGTGCAATCTCTTTAAAACATTCTAGCAAAATTGGGACATTGACAAATATTTATCACTCGAGTAATTTAATAGGTAGTAATGATTTTATTGTGAATTAACATATCTTTGAATGAAAAATCACATTGTAGATTTTTCCAAGTAAAAATCACGCTCAAAGCAGAAGCTATTACAATTCAAGAAGTAAGAATTCAGGTATGAAATAGCATTACATGATGGTCATAAAGTATTAATGGAATTGTAAAAGCAAAAACCAACCATTTAGTTCAATTTAAAAAATCACTATACATCAAAAATGGTCCACTAGCTGCAAAATCAATGGGAAAGATAACATAGTGAATGCAGTTAACATTGAAAAAGTCCCCTTACTAAAATATCAAAAAGAAATCAATAGCACTTGATTTATCATTCCCTAAAATAATAGAACAGCAATAAAAAAGTTATAAAAACATATTTTACTAAATATCTGTCTTATATTTTGTTATTTTAATGTAATAATCCCAGATGAGTTAATTATTGCAAAGCTGAAAAATATTCAAGCCATTGCTACAAAAAAACAGAAAGTGATGTTTTATTTCGAACACTTAACACTTAATTTCAGATTTCCAGGATTCTTCTTTTTGCAAGTGAACTCATGACATGGCGCTAGCTTAATAACAGATATCTTTTTATTTCATTTATCATCTCCGTCTGAATTCAACATTCTCTTGTGCTTTGGTGGTATTTGAGGCTAAGGCAGAAAAGCAATCCCAACCCACAATGGATGATTTTTTTATGCCCTCATCTCTTATTACCCATAGGAAGCACTTGACAGATTGACAAATTTCAAGAAGTGATATCTGTTGTGAAGTTTCTGAGAAACTAGGAATTGAAAACAAATGCATAAAGCAGAGGTTGTTGTAAAGTAATTAATATTAAAACTGCACTGGAATATGTATAAAAGGAGATTGTGAAAGTTTATAGAATTCAATATTTTCTTTCACATCCAAATTCCAGTGTTAATGCTACAGGAAGCTATTCTTTTCTATTTACTGGTATAAAAGCTATAACTTTTTGTTTTCTTGATAAATGTGGATTCCAAATGAATACAAAACAGGTTTGTCACAGCTTCCAATCAGATATATGACAGCAATGAAGACACCGCTGAGAATTTCAGAATAGAAACTGAAATCTGAATTCCCAGGTAACTAAAGGCAGCAGGGAAGCTTATTTGATTGTAAAGATGATTAGTTGTTTTGGATGTGTGTTTGATTAAAATGTCAGGCTTACAGATTGGTCTGAGTTTGTACAAATGATGTTCAAAAACAAGTAGGGATTTTAATGTTGTGTAATTAAATTGGTAAGACAAGCAGGCATATTAAGTCAGAATGCATTAAATGAGAAAAAAGAAAACTTTCCTTTCTTTAGAAACTCTCAAGTGTGGAGCCCAGAACAAAGGCCCATCACTTTTGAAGTTAAAATTAGAGCTAGACCACTCAAGAATGATGTCAGCACAACTGCTTCACATAAACATCAAGGAAATCTGAAACTCTTGCCTGCAAAAAGCTGTTGATATTCAATAAATTGAAAATTTGTTGAAAATAGGTGTTATGGAACTAGAGTAAATAAATGAGTCAGAAGCTTTTCTTCATAGTGAGAGATAGAAATTGGGAGTGTTTCTGGGTGACAAACATGACCTTGGTTTGGCAGCAGTCACTTATTGTTAATTTTACAGGGTGCTCCTTAACTGGGATGGAGACAGGTTCAACATTCAATTAGGGATACTAAGTGGGTCTGCAAAGGTTGATAGAAGGCCTTCCAGCTTGAAGGTAAGCAAGAAAGAAGACTCCTAAAAACTGAGGCACACTCACTGCAACTTCTTAAAAGTCAAAATGTAATGGCTGTTGGAGCCAAGACATCACAGTGGGAGAAGCGGGAACTCTTCTACAGGACATTCTGTAGCTGATCCTGCACCTAGGCAGACAGAGAAGGCCGTTAGGCCTTTCCTGCTTTGGCTCCCAATTACTGATAAGAGTTTGCCTTCAGGCATCTAAATTGGCCCCTGCCACTTGTGGGAATTTGGAGATTACATTGATCTGGTTAAATTCCAGGCAGCCTCCTTGAATTGGCCTTAATTGTTTCTCAATAATTCCTTACTGTGCTTTGCCACCCACCCATCCCACTCCTGCAAAAATGGCTGAAGGCAGGGAGGAGCATGAGAGTGGTATGTTGACTTATGAACCTAGTTTTTGATTCCCATGCCACAACTCCAAGGCTGACCAAGATGCTGATCATCCATGAACCAATTGAATGGCAGAACAAACTGGAGTGGCTGTCTATTCTACATCTGTTCAGCACAGTTTTTAATGAACAAAGAAAAATGAAACGCAGGCATACTTTATAATGGATAAAAACTTTATAATGGTTTGTTTAAATGGATTGTATACAAGATTTGAAATAACATACAACAAATATCTTAAATGAACAGAAGTGATGAGAAGTTACTCTATGTGCAATCTCAAAGTTGGAGAGAAGTACAAGTTTGAACTGCAATTCTGAAGAGGAGTCCTACTGGACTTGAAACAGTAACTCTGTTTCTCTCTCTACACATGCTGCCAGACCTGTTGAGTTTCTCCAGCACAATTTGTTTCTGTTTCAAATCTCCAGGTTGCACAGTATTTTTGCTTTTATCCATGGCAAAATTAATCACAACTTATTAGAAAATTGTCCTGACCTTCTACACCAAATTATTAAGCAATCTTTTCTATTTTAAGATGTTAAATAGTCTTGTTGTGCATTATGAATCATTTCTGACTTTTTTTCTTGCATTTTAGTCCATATATAGATGCACACATCCGCAAGAAATATTTCTTGAGAAATTGTTGCTTAAAAGTTTTCAACAATGTAATTACATTTTTGGTGAAAATCAGTAAAAAACAGATGTTTTTGGAAACTCCAGACCTGCTGATAGGAAATACATAAATATAAGCAGTGGATTATTCAAGCTGATTCTATGAATGTGTCAACAGGCTGCAAACACATACACAAAATAATCTTTTTAACTATTTCAAAATGCATTAACCAATAAAGAAAATTAGCTTAAAAATATGAAACATGGTGAATATAACTAAATTATATTTATTGTGTTATCTTTGATTCACCTCAGTAATTGCAATCTGTTCCCATGACGTTTTCTCACGCAAGGTAGAAATTTCACGGAGGGAAATTTCTATTGTTACCACCTGAGCATTAGGGTCAACTGTAGAAAGAAAATGCTGTGTAAAACTTTGTTTGTTGGTAGCAGGTTGTGACTTGTCTTCCTTCCCTGAAATGATTGGAAGCAAGATCTCAGTATTCTGTTAATGATCTGTGAACTTCCCCACCACGTTTTCTCTTCTGCACACTTCTCGGTGATGCTTAAAGCCCAAATAACAACATCAAAAATCTACCTTTCTGTTTATTTTAGAAGTGAGAGTTGGGACTGTAAATTATGTCTCCAATCTATCATTTATTGACATTAACTTTTAAAATAATCTATTTACATTAGTTGCTTATCACTTTAAAAGAAATCACGATTAATTCTACATGTAATTGAAAAAAAATCCTTTTTACTTAATGTGTTTTTCTATGAAGTTTTAAATATTTTGATGACTACCGTTTACATTCTTTACTAAATGAAAATCTATGAAAGCATAAATATCAACATTTTTAACAGTAGTCTTTTTATATAGAATTTTTTAAAAATGCAGGAAAGGAACCCAAAGATTGTGCATGGTAAAGTTAAAAAAAGTCAGTCTTCTAGGTTTCAGTTACCATCATCATGCTCACGTACAGTTCCAGTCCCTGTTGCTAGCTTTTGAAAGATTGCTTCCTGGCCATCTTCAATAAGATCCTCAAGATCGACTTAAGCTCCAATCAATCACTGAAGTTACACAGCTAATTGCCCCAGTAATTAGACCTCATTGTGATTACTCACAACTACTTCGTGATCTTTCAAATGCTGTTATGTGTAATTTATGGACCCCTGTCAGAACTAAATTGGCATTCTTTTTAAACTGGGTGTGAACTATTCATACTTCTGTTGATTTGGAGGTCAGCTGATTTAAATAGTATCTTATTTGGCTCTGAACTACTGTATTTAAAAGTAGGATAGCTTCTGTAACACACATTTAATCTCAAAAGGGGATTTGGTTCTGAAATTTGTAAATTCTACACTATAATTTTGGAGGTACGTGTGATGATTTTTGCAACTTGTATGTGATTACAGATCACCACATTTTCACTTCTAAATGTACGATCCAAATTTATATTCATCATTATTATTAGAAACAATTAGAAATGCGCAGACAGTCTGTTTGTACTTGAAAGAGGATAGGTAATTATTTTGGGTGGAAAAAAAGTTGCATCAAAAATGTTAAATTACTCTTACTTTTTATTTACTGTTTAACTATTTATTTACTGATCTATTTGCTACATATTTGGAGCATTACCTACAATCTTAGTTCTCTTGATCTTGCCCCATGTTTTTTGTATAATTAATCATTAAGTACCATTTAATCTGCTAAAACTCTTACCTACACAATTGTGGAATCAGCTGTAATAATTTCAGCATTATTACAAGCCACATCTTCATGTATACAGACACTAGCATTTGTCACTTTGCCAGAAGGTAGAGGGAGCTGGAACACTACAAGTGCAGTACTGTCAAATCTAGATGCATATTGCCAAATTGCTCACTTCTAATTTTTAACAAAAATATTTGTGCTTCTATGATTAATAAAACAGCGTTTTAGAACATAAGCTGTACTGGAAATTAGCTCAATATCTGAACAGAACAAAAATGTATAATATAATTAACACACTTAGTTATATTCTAAAGCAGCAATCATTTTAGCAGAAAATTGCAATTAGTGGTATAAATATAGACAAAGCAGAATGCTTTGTCATCTCAAGTGATAATGAACTGATAATTATGCTGAAATATATTAACAAATTTAAGCAAACCATTTTTTAAAATTAAGCTTGTATTATCATCATTGACCACTTAGAACCACATTATCCTCTCTTCAATAGTATTTGTGGAAAAAGTGGAGGTGAGTTGAAAAAGTGTCCTGCTGACAGAAGGCACTAATTGACTATTTGTCACACTTAGCATTTCTTTGAAGATTCCTCTAACTCCAAAATGTCTTCAGGAATATTAGAGAAGTGTCAGAATAAAGCCTATTTCTGCTTGTTAAGGCCTTGTTAAATACCAATCACTAGAAATGAAGCAGCTGTGGAGGATAACAGAAAGATGAACATTTTGAGATTTAAAAGTCAGGTCTGGCATACATAAGCCTATTGAATAGAAAATTTTGAAGAATCACCATTTTATATCACAAGTTTGCTGCTTGAGAAGAAAAGTACTTTAGTTAATGACAGATATCGAACGGTGTAGCAGTTGGAGAACAGAATAGTCTGGGAATGCAACTCACAGCAAGTACTACCCCATACAGTGGGTCTGCTGCAATTGGGTCAGCTGTCTGGCCATGACGAACAGCATGCGTAGCCTTAGGCTCAGCAGGGAGGCTATCACTGAGATGTGTCATATGTTCTAATGAAACCTGCAGGGACAGACTGCCATCTGTATGCCAGTAACCAATTTCTATTGATCCTTGACCCTCCTGGTCAGGGCACACACTGCTTCTGCAGTCTGAACCCAAATATAGGTCTAGATTATTTTTTTGTGTCTTAACCTAATATCTGCCTCTATTTCACTGATCTTCTCTCTAATTATGTTCACCAGTACTGTGATGCAACATAGTGAGATAGGTGCTTGGCAAGTGGAACACCTCATTGACCATTAGATTCACTTTGCACTTTTAAGAAAGCAGATGGAATCTAAGAGAACGTAAGTATAATTATTGTTTGAGATCTTGTCATTACATACGCTGTTATGCATTTGATGTGTGAAATATGTGTAATTCAGAGAATGGAGTTGTTGCACCACTGCTGAAAATTACCACAGAGCAGGAACTATCCTCTTATTTTCAGTGAGGTGACAATGACGTCAGCCACAAACTGGAGGAGCATCACTTCATATTATGCCTAGGGAGCCTACAACCCAATGGTCTCAATGTGGACTTTACCAGTTTCAAAATCTTCCCACTCCCGGCCTCGTCCCATAACCAACCCTCCCTCTCATCCCCATCTCCTTGACCTGACACAATCTATCTGTCTGTCTTCTCTCCCACCTATCTGCTCCTCCCACCTCACTGACCAATCCCCACCACTGCCTACCTGCACTCACCTATCACCATCCCAGCTACCTTCCCCAGCCCCACCCCTCCACTCTATTTATTTCTGAACTCCCTTCCCCCTCCCCTATTTCTGAAGAAGGTCCTGACCCAAAACATCAACTTTCCTGCTCCTCTGATGCTGCCTGGCCAGCTGTGTTCCTCCAGCTCCACACCTTGTTATCTCTGACTCCAATGTCGGCAGTTCTTACTATCTCTGAGTGAGTCATTGGGAAACAATGGCTTTTACTGCAAAACAATCCTATCTCTAATCCTATTCAGCCTCTTAAATTTACAATACTTCCCAAGTCTCTTGTACATTTTCTCTCTGTCTTTCTCTTGCCATGCTGGTCTCCCCAGAAGGCATCCAGAAGATCCAAGAGAATGGTCTGCACATGAATACTTGAAAGGTTTACTGGAACTTTCTATTGTTTTGGCCAATCAGGAAGACCCACTTAATAGTTTGAAACATTGTTAATCATTTAGATGGCCTGCTACTCTTTGCTTCTTTGTGAAGCAGGACACGGTGACTTTCTGTCTGGGCCTTCCTTTATTTAGCGGATAAGTTGTTAGGGGTATGTCTGTCCAGGATAACTGTTGCCTTTTACATTATGTTAATGTCACTAGCACCTGGCTGCTGTGTTTGTACTGTATCTTGTGTGTGGGCTTTGTGATTTTAGAGTTTTACTTGCCCAATGTACCCAGCATCCCTTGTGTTTGGCCAAATTAGTAATGTATCTGTGTTTTAGCGGCCAGGAGGCTGCTACAGAGCTAAGAGTACTGTTGGAGAGTAGTTCTTCAAGCTCAAGTGACTTGGTGGGAGGTAGGAGTGAAGTCAAACTTTTAAATATGCACGATATAATGTTTAAAGATAAAATGGCACACTGTGAAATTACTTGGGGAGAAATGCAGGGCAAAAAGAATTGCATCTTACTCTGGATATAATTGCTGGGCATGTGGAAAGAGGCCGTCACAGTGACATCAGATGACATGGAACTGAAGCCTAGGTTTGCAGGCTCCAGTTTTCTTTCTTTCAATAAAATCTGTTACTGTCAATTCAAAAGTGTAGACTGTGCATCACTACAGAAGACTTGAAGGTAGTGGAGGTTGAATAATTTCCTGCTGGCTCTTTAAGTTAGCTTACTGAAACAGTGAGAAATTATTCAACTTCCGCCATCTTCAAGCCAAAACCAAAGTCACCCCAACCAGTGTCATTGAGCTGCAGTATGCAGATCATGCTTGTGTATGTGCAATCTCAGAATGTATTCCAGACCAGCATCAGCATCTTTATGGAGGCATGGGTCTCACCCTGAACATCTGCAAGTCGAAGGCTCTCCACCAACCTGGTGCAGCATTGTGGAGCAAATCCTTAATCATCAAGGTCCACGGGGAGGCCTTAGAGAAAGTTGACTACTTCTAAAACCTTGGGAGTGTCCTGTCTGCCAAAGCAGCTATTAAGGAAGAGATCCAGCATCGCCTCCAGAGTGCTAGCGCAGCCTTCAGCTGCCTGAGGAAAAGGGTGTTCGAGGACAACAACATCAGATCAGACACCAAGCTCATGGTTACAGAGCTGTGGTGGATCCCACCTTCCTATTTGGCTCTGAGGCATGGACAGTCTACAGCAGACACTGGAGCAGTACCACCAACGCTGCCTGTGCAAGATCCCGCAAATCCACTGGGAAGAAAGACACACCAACAGCAGCGTTCTCGACCAGGTCAGAATCCCCAGCGACAAGGCACTGACCACCCTTGAGTGACTATAATGGGCTGAGCGAGTCATCTGCAAGACCAACACAAGGCTCCCCAGGCAGGTGCTCTACTCCTACTCCCACTCCCAAATGGCGGGTGAACCCCAGATGGACAGAGGAAGTGTTCTAGTGATACCCTCCAGGCCTCACTGATGAAGTACGGCATTCCCATAGGCACCTGGGAATCACTGGACCGAGACTGTCCAAAGGGAAGGAGGAGCATCCAGAAGGGCTTTGAGCACTTCAAGACCTGCTGTCAGGAAAGAACAGAAGCCAGGTGAAAACGGTGAAACATGCGTGCTGCCACACCAATTTTCCACTCGCCCCTTCCCGTGACCACCTTCTGTCCAAAGTGTGACAGAGCCTGCTGTAGCCGCATTGGTCTGTAAAGCCACCTATGGACTCACTCAAGTGTGGAAGACCATCATCCTCCTCTGAGGGGCTGCTAATGAATGAATGGATGATTCAAGACTTGTTAATGACTTTTGAATAGTGACAGACAAGGATGGAAATCTGAACGAAATAAATTCCGCCCCAAATGACAGCTTCCTGCAAGATCTCACTAATTCTGGACTAAATGTTGCCAAAGACTTGCTTGACGTCTCCAGGCTAATGAATACACTTACTTTATTTGGAAGTATAAACTGGAAAATGGAAGTTTAGATTCTTAGTCTCTTTTTTTTTCTACAACTCAAGCAAAGGTTGAACTGTGTAGTGTTCTTTTGCTGAAGCTAGATTTGATATTTTTCTATTGCATCAGGTGTCTTCAGTAAAAAAAGGTAACTGCTGAGGATTTGGGATAGTTGAAAGTAGCAGTTCATCACAGAACTGAAAAGGGAGAAAGTAATGGGGACTCTGAACCTTAAGCCTTCTGGCAGGTGAATTTGCACCCTCTCTGGCATTTTAATTGGAAAAGAAATCGCTCTTAAATAATTCCAGCCCATAGACCCACGTGACCAACTAATAAGTTGAGGATTACGATGCTCAAAAACAATGTAATATCATTGCCAACAAACAAAGGAAAATAATTGTGAGAAAATCCTCTCATTTTGCCTTTTGGATTGGAACCTGATCCACAAACTTTGTCCCTTTCTGCCTACATTTTCGTGCACAGAGCATTTATTTTAAAAAAACAGATTTCCAGTTTGCCTTGCTCAGGCTATGTGTGAATGAATATGTGTGCGCTTGGATTTAAGCGGGGTGGCGTGGGGTTGTATAGTCTGAGTGTGCATTTAAGAATTAACAATCTGTTTTTGCCAAATGTGAGAAGATAGGTTTATTATCATAAATATGTTTCTGCTTTTTGGATCATTGTAAAAAAAACTGGTTCTTCTCTCTTAGATCATGTCAGATGTCAGGCATTAGCCATCTGCAGAATAGAATCATAGAATCCCTACAGTGTGGAAGCAGGCCATTAGGTCCATCGAGGCCACACCAACGCGCTGAAGAGCTTCCCACCCCATCCCTGTAACCCTGCATTTTCCCATGGCCAATCCACCTGACCTGCACATCCCTGGATTGTGGGAGGGAAAAAGAGCACCCAGAAGAAACCCACGCAGACACAGAACGTGCAAACTCCACACAGCTGGTTGCCCAAGGCTGGAATTGAAACCAGGTCCCTGACACTGTGCGGCAGCAGTGCCTATCACTGAGCCACTGTGCCACTCATTAAATTGATCATCTTTCACATTTGTGACAAATGCGAAATAGTGGGGCTTGGTTTCCAGCACATTATACCCACTAAGGTGTGATAAGACATGACTTCCTAATTTCTATAGGCCTTTGCAAGTCTTCCTTCAAGATCCACAATTATTTCCTCATTTTTAATTATGTTTGGCTTGATAGTGTGCATTACTTTTCCTATGATCTACCTCATTGCACTGTGGTATTTGTTCTTTAATGCCTCACTTGATAATCTATCATTTTCTCTGTGGCAGTATTATTTTTAAAGGTGTGTCTTTAACTATTGTAGTCATCTATTCTGTTCTTTGCAGTCACTCTATAAAATAGTTCACTTTTTTTTTAGATGACAATTTTTTAATTCCTCCAGTTATGTTCTGTTATGTATTGCCAAGCTCTCTTCTTTCTGAATGATATTTGCGAGTAATCTCACCACGACTGAGGTCAATTTTAACACTTAGCACTTGCCTCATTTGTGGTTGATATTCAAGGTACTCTGGTCTTTTTGAGGTCTGAAACTCAAACAGTGACAAACGGCACATTTCAGACTGGCACAGTGGTGGAGTGCACCAGTTGGGGAGGCTATGAAATATGGTTCAGACACAGAGTGGGCCTTGGTTCTTGAGTCATGGAAATATACAGCATGGAAACAGATCTTTTGGTCCAACTCGTCCATGCTGACCAGCTATCCTAAATTAATCTAGTTTCATTTGCCAGCATTTGGCCCATATTCCTTTGAACCTTTCCTATTCATCTAACCATCAAGATGCCTTTTAATTGTTGTTATTGTACCAGCCTCCACCACTTTCTCTGCCAGTTAATGCCATCCATGCACCACTCTCTGTGAGAAAATGTTGCCCCTTTTAAGTCTTTCCTCTCTCACAGTAAGGTGGATAAAACCCCTGGGCCTGATCAAGCCCATCTTTGTGGGAGGCTAGGGAAGAAATTGCAGAGACCCTTGCAGAGATGTTTAAGAGGGAAATCAGAATGAAGATTTCACAGCGGAAACTCAACTAACCGCCATATTGGAGGTGATCAGCCTCACAGTTGTTGCTGCTCGTAAGATCAGCTGATCTATTAGTTGATATGCATACACAAAGATCCCCTGCACCTTTGCCTATAACTCAAGGTGCCAGACCTGAGACAACCAGCCAAAAATACTCCCTGTTGGCTGTCACTGCCCTCTA